GTTTCTATTGAATAGAAGCAATCTAATACTTGATAGCAGGTTTATATCGAATAGAAGCAATCTAATACTTGATAGCAGGTTTCTATTGAATAGAAGCAATCTAATACTTGATAGCAGGTTTATATCGAATAGAAGCAATCTAATACTTGATAGCAGGTTTCCATCGAATAGAAGCAATCTAATACTTGATAGCAGGTTTCCATCGAATAGAAGCAATCTAATACTTGATAGCAGGTTTCATCGAATAGAAGCAATCTAATACTTGATAGCAGGTTTCCATCGAATAGAAGCAATCTAATACTTGATAGCAGGTTTCCATCGAATAGAAGCAATCTAATACTTGATAGCAGGTTTCTATCGAATAGAAGCAATCTAATACTTGATAGCAGGTTTCCATCGAATAGAAGCAATCTAGTACTTTATAGCAGGTTTCCATCGAATAGAAGCAATCCAATACTTGATAGCAGGTTTCCATCGAATAGAAGCAATCTAATGCTTGATAGCAAGTTTCCATTGAGGAGAAGCAATCTAATGCTTGATACTTATAACTATCAACGTTTGATTGCAAGGACACTCGGGGAAAGGAAAATATATATATATTTAAGTCAAAATCTCTGATCGAAAAAAAATGAACAATTAAAGTGGACTATCCCTCACCAAATTATTTTTATGTTTTTATTTATCAAGTATAAATATACTTCTATTAACAGAGACAGGGAAAGCAAAGATTCACCTCACGTTTCTTGTAATTTTTCGTACGCCCTCTGTCGGCGAAAAGCCTTTGTTGACCGCGCTGATACTTCAATGTTTTCTTATGTATTTGCTCCTGTATTTTTATATTTTATGTACCCTTACCACAGAATATTATTGGTATGGCACCTGGTTTTAATTTATTGCATCCTTCTTGGCAGCCAATTATATACAGATCGCCAACATGTTCAAAGTGGTCCGAAAGTACTCTGCTGTATTTTTGGTTGGAGTGAAGTTAGCCCATTTAATTCTATGTGTCAAAATCTTTCTACTTAAAGGATCTGTCGGAATATAAAAGAAACTAATCCTTGAACCCCTTCTGCCTCTGTTAGTACACTTATAAGCCACAGAATACACTATCTTATCATTGAATTCTCAAAATCATTACTACGTTTCATCTGCTAAAGTCAGTGACTGTTTTTGAGAGCTAGCTTATGTGTTTGACTCCTCTTACGTCATCAGCCGAAAGTAGTCGAGTGTTTCCGAAAAATATACACAATTGAATTGCAGCAAAATATGAACAGTTTTCCACTATTTTTTTGCTTTTAGGTTCCTTTTTTTTGTGAAAGCAAGTTATAATAAACCTTAAACAAAGCATTTCTGAAAACAAAATCGCTTCATAAATCCTTTAGTTTCTTTAGGTTTAGCTAGAACTGCACCATTTATTGGATAAAAGAAAATATATATATTGTCCAATATTGGAAAGAGACATTTACTGAGAAATTGCAGAATTATTAACTCAATTAGTCACACTAAATATCAAATATGCGATAACCTCCGTGTTCTCGCAACTTGAAATATATGTTTTTATCCATGTTGATACTTATTAACAAGATTTTCAAAATCCAGTTAATTAATTAAACATAAATTAATAAAATACTTTTCAGGTTATTTTCAACTTGTTGTAAAGATTAACAGCTTTATAAGCACAAATTAAGTAACGAAGAACAAACATAAATTAACAAAAATATGAAGTTGATTACCCCGACTAGTTTCGACGTACTACGTGCGTCATTTTCGAGGTGTACGTGTACAGCGACATCTAGCGAGTGATTATGTGGTCATTTTGGTTTTCATGAGCCGCAACGGCTGATTTTTCTATTTCCAAACGGTGGCAGTGATCTTCATGTTCTTTT